GATTTACAGTTAATCCTGGGTTTTCATAAACTGATTTACACATTGTCAGTGTTGGGGAGTAACTGCTAGTTACATGTAACATAATTTAATTACAAAATATGTAACTGTAATCTGTTACAGTTACTGAGAAAACGCATGTTATTAAATTACAGTTACTTGTGAAAATGTTAACCATTACAAAGGGGGTTACATCTGAATATTTTCACATAGAGATTTAATTGAATTCTTTCCCAAATTATGCAGCACGTGACCCGTTTAAAGGCTCTAGAATTGTATTTTTATCTCTCAACATCTACAGATAAATTAAAAGCTGTAGTATACTGTAACTGATAAATAAATAACAAATACACATGCATGCATTTATAGGCTACATTATTATGGTCTCATCATTTCATTAAATGATCTGCATTGCAAGATCAGTGCTTGTAGATTGTAGAGTCCTTGGGGCCTTTAACTGTTTAGGGCTTTTCACACTTGAAATGGTTAACCTTGGGTTAAATCCCAAGTAAAGGAATCCTGGGTTATCTTGTTTCACGTTTCACTTCCCATATTTTACCTGGGATTTACAGTTAATCCTGGGTTTTCATAAACTGATTTACACATTGTCAGTGTTGGGGAGTAACTGCTAGTTACATGTAACATAATTTAATTACAAAATATGTAACTTACTGAGAAAACGCATGTTATTAAATTACAGTTACTTGTGAAAATGTTAACGATTACAAAGGGGGTTACATCTGAATATTTTCACATAGAGATTTAATTGAATTCTTTCCCAAATTATGCAGCACGTGACCCGTTTAAAGGCTCTAGAATTGTGCATCCTCATTATATATTAGCCTGCTTTTTCCTGAATGGTCTTATAAATTATAAAGGTAAGAATGAAACGGTCTCTTTTGCACAAGTTTCATCACCATTTGACATTTTCATTAAGCATGTGAATATGAGACACGCTAAGTCAGCTAACAGGAAACATTCTCAGAACTTTATAACGTTCTGGCAAGGCTCACTCAACGTTATGTACAAACATTCTTCCAGCAGCATTAACAAAATGTTTGTTCTATGTCATCTGGTCCTAATAACGTTCTCAAAACAGTAGCACAAACCCATGTGGGTTCTTTTTATTAAAACACACTTGCTATTATCACCTACAGAGCCAAGGCTAAATTCCTTTTCATTGCAGAACATTTATTATCAGGGTGTTTCAGAAATAATAATTGTCACAACTGGGCAAAAACAACTATTATGGGCTGTTGATTACAATTGCATATTGTGACAGGAGGACATCACGCAAGGAGTTTAACACCTCTGCTTTTGCAAAACATCGACCTTCAGCTTTGTTGACAGATCTTTGTTCACACTCTTTTGCATTAATCTGTAATGCATTGAGAGCACTCTGAGAAAGATGTTATGTCAGGTAGCCTACAATGTGTTTAATTTGGTTCCATCTAAGTGAACTTAAAAATTCTGTCATCATTTACTCACCCTCAAGTCTTTTGAAACCCATTTCTTTCTTCCCTGGAACACAAAAGGAGTTATTTATAGCAGAATGTCCTTCTGCTCTCTTCCATATAATGAAAGTAAACGTTGGCCACAGCTGTTTCTAACACAGTTATTGTATGGCTTCAGAAGACTTGGAATATAGCATGCATGTCATATGGACTACTTTTATGATAGTTTTATGGTGATCGTTTTTGGTGCTTGACCGCACCTGATCACCATTCACTTTCAAAGTATGGAAGAAAACAGCTCTGATGTTTTGCTTTAGTGTTTGGAAGTGTTTTGTGCACTTTTGGAAGGTTGATTATATAATGACAGAATTTTAATTTTGGGGTGTTTTCACTTTTATGGTGCAGATTAGTTTTTGTTTATAGCAAATGAGCCATCCGACCAACTAGAATTACAGCATATTAATGTGGTAATGAATTAAGTCTTAAAGTTTAGGCATTCGATATTCAGCTTGTGAAGGGACACTGCGGGATGTCGTCTACCCTGTTGTGTTTCCAAACCTGAAGAAGGCAGAAATATAATTTCCCTGTCAAATCCTGAGCTTTTAAAAGCAGCTAATTTAGAGCTTTGTAGATCAATATCAGTAATACTGTAAGATAATGTGAAGGTTCCCTTTTCAGCAAAAGACTTATTAGAGTAATCAGCTTTTCCTTTTTGCATAGCTGCTGTATTCTGCACATTTTGTCAAGGGGGTTGAGAGTCTAATTGAAGCGGATTGTGGTAATCAAGTAAAGGAATGACTTTTGGCATTATGGAACAGAAATTATTGATCCACGATAAGAATAGTTCATAATTGGTGCTTTTTGCGGTGTTGAGATGCCTTTACAAGTCTCTACAGTAAAGAACTCAAATGAGCCTCGGACATGATAAATGGAAATGGAATGGCTTTCAGGAACCAAAAATGTGATCTGCATGGGATAGCAGAAACTATTGACCTTTTTACCTACCAATTTGGACTTTTTCTAGTAATTCTGAGACTTGTGAGATGTAAACGTGTAATTCTGAAAAGGAAAGTCAAAATTGTGAGATAAAATCTGGCAATTGTGAGGAAAAAAATAAGTCAGAATTGTCAGATAAAATGAAATTACCTTTATTATTTTTATTGGGTTGAAACAATAAAATAGGATTGCAAGATGTAAACTCAGAATTCTGAGACAATAAGTCGGAATTGGGGGAAAAAACAAGCCAGATTTGAGGGGGAAAAATCTGATTTACCTGGTTTATATATTGCAATTCTGTTTTTTTTTCTTCTACAATTGCGGGTTTATGTCTTGCAATTGGGTCTTTTTTTTCTCACGTTTTGCTTTAGTGTTTGGAAGTGTTTTGTGCACTTTTGGAAGGTTGAGTATATAATGACAGAATTTTAATTTTGGGGTGTTTTCACTTTTATGGTGCAGATTAGTTTTTGTTTATAGCAAATGAGCCATCCGACCAACTAGAATTACAGCATATTAATGTGGTAATGAATTATGTCTTAAAGTTTAGGCATTCGATATTCAGCTTGTGAAGGGACACTGCGGGATGTCGTCTACCCTGTTGTGTTTCCAAACCTGAAGAAGGCAGAAATATAATTTCCCTGTCAAATCCTGAGCTTTTAAAAGAGGCTAATTTAGAGCTTTGTAGATCAATATCAGTAATACTGTAAGATAATGTGAAGGTTCCCTTTTCAGCAAAAGACTTATTAGAGTAATCAGCTTTTCCTTTTTGCATAGCTGCTGTATTCTGCACCACAATTGAGGGTTTATATCTTGCAATTGTGTCTTTTTTTTCTCAGAATTTCTAGTTTATATTCTCACTATAATTCACTGATTAATTCTGAGCAAAATGCACAGAATGGTAGGAAAAAAAAGTCTGATTTGTAAGATAAAAAGTCACAATTACCTTTTTTATCCTGTGGCAGAAAAAAAAAAATATATATATATTGTAGAATGAAAAGGTATGTGAAAACGTATTGTTAATAAACATTATTTGTTTGCTTTTTATTATATTTATAGTCTATTTAACTATCTATTTTTAGTTCTTTGGAACTGATTTAATCTTTTTCAGTGCTGTTTACTCTTTTGTCATATTATTACAGCAAAACCGTGTGAGAGTGTGTGTTATTGCGATTATAAGCATGACATGGTGCAGTCAGGCTTGAAACAAATCTGAGCCATGCTACTGTGATTATGCAGTCAGCTGAAGTGTAGGCTGACCAATGGGAACAGTGAACTGAAACTACCCATTTCATGATGATTATTGCGATGGTGGCAAAAACAACTGGAAGCTTAAAATCAATTATGCATGAAAATGCTGTCATCCACGCTGACTCTGGAAAGCTTGTGATTCACCACCCAGTGCTTTTTGTGTACAAGGAAATATCAAAGCAATACTTACTCTTTCTTAACGATTCCATGGCTGCTCTGAAAGGGTTTAAAGAGATAGTTGCCCAAACATGACACTGCTGCCAAATCAGCATGACTTGTTTTCTTGCGAGGAGCACAAAAGGAGATATTTTGCAGAACGTCCAAGCTGCTCTTTTCCAGTGAAAAAGGATGGAGAGCAAGGACCACCTTTGCTAGCTAACTCCTTTTATGCTCCATGCGAAGATGAGAAGAGATGACAGAGTTTTCATTATAGGCGTGAACTCTCGCTTTAATATCATCAGGGCCCCTAGATAAGAATTACGCTTTTGCAATCAATCTCAAACTCAAGCAAGCCGAGTGGGTAGCGCACAGAGATCCGAATCAAAGCAATTGGAGAATATTAGAGCGGGGAACAACACAAGCTTTTAATGTGATATGAAAGCTAAATGTTCTTTGTACTGATTGATTTTTAATGTTCCCAACACCCGCCATTTCTTTCACTCTCTTTACGAATACAAGAGTGGCTTTCTGGCATTTTATCAACAGTAGTCTTTATTGGCGGCTCTGAGTGAGGCAACCAAAAAGAGGACTTTTACAAACAAATGTTCCTGGATTCTTGATCTTACAATTGCTTGTTTGCAATTTAGTATCCTGTGCTTTAGAAATGAATAGGAATAATAGAGAAATTTCTTAGCAGGTTCTTTGGCTTTTCTGATCAATTTTTCACCCCACTCAGCCATTGTGTTTGTAAAGCTTGCCTGCTCTACACCCTCGGTCTCTCAGAAGTAATCTTCTTTTGAATGCCAGCTGACCATTGATCTGTATATACCCTCAAACCATTCTTAGGGCTTTCAGGGGCTTTTTGCTCATAGTCTCTTTGTATTTAACCTTCCTCACATCAAATGCCACAACAGAGTGAATACGTCCCATTGATAACGGTGGAATTTATACTTATTTGCCTGTAGCTACTTTAATCACTTATAGTTTCTTTGATGATATATGCTGTTATGTAGCTGTAAAGCTTTACATTTCTTAAGGTATTAAATGACTACGATTTGTTTGATATTAGTTTTCTTTATTTGAAATGAAATTGTAATAGGTGAAGCTTAACTGGACTGTATCGACAGTGTTCTCTCTCATTTCCAGATGAAAGAGAAGATGTTCAAAAGAAAACCTTCACGAAATGGATAAACTCCCAGTTTGCTAAGGTAATGTGACTTGAGTATTTTTTTTTTTAAATAGTGTGTTGAGGTAACACTGAATCACCCAAAAATTAAAAGTCTGCCATTATTTACTCGCCCTCAGGTTGTTCCAAACCTTCCAAAGATATTTTGAAGAAAGTTAGTAACCAAACATGATGACAGAATTGTCATTTTTGGGTGAACTATCTTTTTAATGTCAGATAAAAAATGTTTAATCATGCAAAATCTGTTTTGATTAACCAATTAAGACAATCTTTAAACTGCGATTTTCTGAGAAATCTTCATGGATTTCTGTTGTTGCATCCTGGAATTCCGTGTTATAGGTATGCAAACTGAAATGTTGCTATTCATCCACCTACTACATGGTGGGCGGATGAGGAGATGTAAGGTAGACAGGTTTGATATCAAGGTTAAAAGTTAAGATTCACACTTGCACATAGTCTTGATCTTGAGGTTAAAAGTTAAGATTGACACTCGCTCACATTCTTGTCACTAACCTTTATCTATGTCAGGATGTGAGTGTGAATGTTTGAATGCTTGCTTTAGATTTGTTTGTGTGACGTTTTGCGCTTCTAGGTAAGGTGTTTCAAAACAGAGGTTTCTGCGTTCTCTTTGTAACTCTGTTAGCGTCCTTTTACAGTGTGTTAACATAGGAAGGACATCAGTTCTTTGTCCTTCAAACTGAGAGAGAAGTGGTTGCTTCAAGGCAGAGCTGTGGGGGAAAAGTAATTTTTCATTTCAAAGAACTTCACAGTATGAAGTGTACTGTGTATGAAGAACTGAATAAAGACCTGCAGCCTTTATAAGTTCTGTTTTTTCTCCAGACAAGAAGACCCCCTATCGATGACCTCTTCACTGATCTGTGTGATGGCCGACGTCTTCTTGAACTCCTGGAGGGTCTGGTTGGCCATGAAATAGTAGGTCCATCTTTAAATTTGAAATATGCATATTACTTCGACGCCAATAGCCTCGTGGTTAGTGCGTCGACATATAGCGCAACTGTGCTCACGGCGACCCGATTTCGATTCTCGTCTCGAGGTCCTTTGCCGATCCCTCTCTCCTCCCAGTACTGTCCTGTCGTCTCTCTACTGTCCTATCACAATAAAAGGCATAAAAAGCCCTTAAAATAACTAAAAAAAAAAGAAAGATGCATATTACAAAATAAGCCATTAAAGGAATATTTCACCCCAAAATGACACTTTTCATCATCATTTACTCATGAATACAAAAGTAAAATTTGAGGATAGTCATGGTAGTACTCTTTTCTATACAGTTACAAGGAATGCTGAATAAGGATTTCATAATGGATTAAAAAAAAACATTAGAAAAATAGGTGCAATATATTTCAAATCTTCTGAAGTCAAACGATAGTTTAAAAAAGAAACAGGCCAAAATGTACGCACATGTACATAAATTGGCTGTTACTTTAACCCCAAAATGTTGTATGTATTTCACTTTGGTCTATTTCACAAACCAAAATGTATTTTATTTGATTGCTGAATGAAAATTTAGCATTTGCACTCCTGTAATATTCCTTGGCATGTTCACGAGAGAAAAAGTGATGTTACTCTTAAGTTGGCTCTTTTAAAACCAAACTGCCTTTTTTTTCTATTTTTACTATTTTATTTTATTTTAAGTTTAAGATTATTATTTGAAGCCATTATTTTAAGTTATATATATATAATATTTTAATGTAGCCCATATCATGTCATATTTATAATGTCATTCTCTTTTGAAAGAAAAAAAAAATTAATTTTTGAAGTATTTAGAATTTGTGACTAGAAATATATATATATTTTTGCGCATGTACGTGTTATGTACTGTTACTATAATGATGGCTAAATATCCCTTTAATTGGCTCTGAGGGGTGATATTCTGAGATGCTTTTCATTGTTCTATTTTTATCAAGGAAAAAATACTCCTGGTTTCAAAGTGTTTGGACAAGGCTGAGTGCATAAATGGTTGAATTAATTTGCAATGGATGCTCAGAGTTCAGTTCTGATACAGTATATTCTTCATTTGCAGGTTAAAGAACGTGGTTTCACTCGAGTGCACTCCCTCAACAATGTTAACAGGGCCCTGCAGATCCTTCAGAAGAACAATGTGAGTTAATTGGTTCAACTGGCTGTTTTACTGTTCACAGCTTTTGGAATTTCAATGTTTCGGTTGAGCTTTTTTAATAAATGCAAGACAAAATTATGCAGAAGCAAAATTTCCAGTTTGATAAGGTAATGGTACTTATCCATTTCACAGACATAAAAGCATTTTATGCTTGATAAAATGTAGTGAAACAACCAGACAGCTTGAATATGTGTTTGAAGAACCAAATAAAAGCCAAGATCGATCGCAAATTATACAGTTTGGTTGAAGTCATTTTCCCGCAAATATCAAACTGCTGATATCTAAAACTGACGTGGCTGAAGTATGTAATCTTTATCTTGTTTAAAGTCAACTTATAATCAAAACTGACCCTGTTTACTGTCTTAATACAAAATCCTGGTCGTATTATGTGCAATGAAGGGTCTTACGTCCCATCCGTCCATTTCTAGGTTGAGCTGGTGAACATTGGAGGAGCTGACATTGTAGATGGCAATCATAAACTGACCCTGGGGCTCATCTGGAGCATCATTCTCCACTGGCAGGTATGAGAGTTCAATCCAGTGAAATCACACCTACAATCTTTCTGGTTTGCCTTCAAGGACAGTAGAACACTAAAGGACCTTTATCATCCATTATGTTATTCTATCAAAGGTTTTATATGTAGCGCATTTGCAGTGGACTGTCATGTGCTTATCTGTACAGGAACTCGTTTCCTCTGTTTTTTCTGCTCATCTGATAAGGTGGCCCTACTGTGGTTTATGTTCAGAGCTACTGATGTCATCTTCTTTCAGCTTATGTTGGCGGTGGTTAAAGGAATAAGGGGATTTAAGACTCAGTCTGTAACGTTTCTGCATTGAGATTCATTCAAAAAGTGCGACTGATTAGTAACTATCATATTAATTTACCATGGAATTTACATCATACTCCTAGATATTTTTAAGTTTGTATCCATGGTGTTATAATGTTACATAATGGAAATCTTTATACACTGTTAAAAATGTTGGGGTCATTAAGATTTATTTAAAATAAATTAATATTTTATTCAACAAGGATGCATTACATTGATCAAAAGTGACTGTAAAGACATTTATGATATTGGAAATATTTATATTTTATATAAATGCTGTTCTTTTGAACATTCTATTTATCAAATAATCCTGAAAAAAAATATTAACCTGAAAAACGGTTTTAAACATTGTTAATGATCAGAAATGTTTATTGAGCATCAAATCAGCATATTATAGTGATTTCTGAAGGATCATGTGACACTGAAGACTGGAGTAATAGCTTTGCCGTTACAGGAATAAACTACATTTTAAAATATATTTCAAATAGAAAACAGTTATTTTATATTGTAATAGTATTTCTATTAATAATGATTTTATTGTATTTTTGATCAAATAAAGGGGCTTCTTTCAAAACTCGTAGAGAACCCAAACGTTTGAATGGCAATATATTACCACATTCTTGTACATGGTATTTACTCCTAGGCATTTCAAAGAATCTCATGGTATTACCTTGGTTCACATTCAACCAGGATATTACCCTTGTACATGCAGTATATGTACCATGTACTGAGTGTTATCACATATTTTTGTTGTGCTTATCCTCTTAATAAAATTGTAATCATAAAATCTGTCTGTAAATATTAGCTTTATGAGGCCTTGTTGCTATATTTGTCACTGTGCTGATAAATGTGTATATATCCTGTCCTTTGCCGTTATTTACTCCTAGGCATTACCCTTGTACATGCAGTATATGTACCATGTACTGAGTGTTATCACATATTTTGTTGTGCTTATCCTCTTAATAAAATTGTAATCATAAAATCTGTCTGTAAATATTAGCTTTATGAGGCCTTGTTGCTATATTTGTCACTGTGCTGATAAATGTGTATATATCCTGTCCTTTGCCGTACAGGTTAAGGATGTGATGAAAGATGTCATGGCAGACCTACAGCAGACAAACAGTGAAAAGATTCTGTTAAGTTGGGTCAGGCAGTCTACTAAAAACTACAAAGACCTCAATGTGGTCAACTTCTCCAGCAGCTGGGCCGATGGTTTTGCCTTCAATGCGCTCATTCACAGCCACAGGTGTGTGGGGTTGTTATTTTTGGGTGCTTTTTTGAAAATCACAGAAATCGTTGGTTTCACGACTAATGAAATTGAAAATGAATGTCTTATATTCATTGGTCATAAACTGCATGGTTGAATACTGGCTTGGCCTAAAGCAATTTTTGAAGCTGATTATGGCTTATTGTTTTTCTATTTTTCTGTGTAGTACATTTGGGTAATGAACCAGCTGTTTCGATCTGCTTTTAGCTATTTCAAGCATGTGCACGGAAAAATAATTTTTGTTATTAACTATCCTATATTAATTACATCATCCGCTTTGTCTTTTTTGCCAGGCCGGAGCTGTTTAACTGGAGTGTGGTGGAGCAACAGGATAATGCCATTGAGAGACTGGATCACGCCTTCAACGTTGCAGAGAAGAGTTTAGGCATCGACCGACTGTTGGACCCTGAGGGTATGACCTTTCTTCTTCTCGCTCACATTAGCCTTTGAAGTTTTTCTGACTAATATAGACAGGGCTTTTTTTAGTTTAGTTTTTTGGATGGAAGGAAACGTCTTGTTACATCAACATCTAAAACACAATTTCATCACATAATTTATGCCATGGGGGTTTTTACCACTTATGACTGGTTCTCTATGGACAGATCCAAAGGAAAGCGATCTAATATACAGTACATGCATGATGTTTCTTTCCTACGCATAAATCCATAAAGAACATGTATAGATATATCATTTAAATAAAAGTTATATGATCACTGCCGTTCAAAAGTTTGTTTTTAAAAAAAGAAAATTATTTCATGTAGATAATAATAAGAAATGTTTATTAGCATATTAGAAGGATTTCTGAAGGATCGTGTGACACTGAAGACTGGTGTAATGATGCTGAAAATTGAGCTTTGCCATCACAAGAATAAATTACATTTTATAATAGAAAGCAGTTATTTTAAATTGTAAGAATATTTCACAATATTGCTATTTTTACTGTATTTTTGATCAAATAAATGCAACCTTTGTGAGCATAAGAGATTTCTTTCAAAACATTGTATCAATCCTAAACTTAGTAGTACACTTACAACATTCTTTTATATACAAAGCAATGTTTGCAGGGATCTTCTGCTTCTCACATTCATCTAAGACTCTAATAATCTCACATATGTCTCCTCTAGGAGTTAGATTAATTAAGTCAATTAAGTCATTGCTTAACTCATGGGCATATCTTTTCGCCATCACAGATGTTGCTACAGCTCATCCAGATAAGAAATCCATCATTATGTACGTCACCTCCCTGTTCCAAGTGCTGCCCCATGGCGTGAGCATGGAGGCCATCCAAGAGGTGGAGACCCTCCCTCGAGCTACAGTAACCAAGGAGGAGCACTTCCTCTTTCAAACCCAACAGCGTTACTCCCAGCAGGTCAGAGGAACGCACACTCATAGACACGCACAGTTTTGAACAGTGTGCAGTAATCGTAATGCATGGACCCATTATCTCTGGCGCCACATACGTCTAATATGAAAGCCTGAGACTTCTCTGGTTTCAAAAAGTTTTCAGACGTTCTCAGGATGTCGAATGCACCTCTATCTCGTCAACACACTCTGCCAGCTGACATTGAATTATGTTTTGTAATTTGTGATCTAATTTTGCCTCTCTGCATTCCAATGTCCTCATCGTCCTTCTCACTGCCATATCCAGCTCATTGCTCCATCACTCAACTCTCCTCAATATTTCCATCCATTTTTTGTTTGCTTATTTCAGTCTTTCTTGTCTTCTGCACCTCTCTTAGATCACAGTCAGTGTGGCACAGAGTCGTGTCCGCAGCCCGTCTCCCTCCTATAAGCCTCGATTCAAAAGCTATGCCTTCACTCAAGCTGCCTACGTCAAGACGCCTGAACAGCAGAGGAAGTTCCTCACCACACAGGTTGGTCATTGTTGACTGCTGGTTTTCCATATCAGGCATTGTAATTTGTTTTTAGTGTACAACAACCTCAGACTGATATCAGTGCTGTCACGCTTTAAAAAAGCTTGTTCCAAATGTATTATATTGGCCTGGCAGACAACAAAACTGACAACAACAAAAAATGCCATAGATTTGCAATGAGGAAGGGACCTGAGGGATGTTTCAAAGACTTGGGTGTGGGCTTTTTTGACTTTAAGTATGGAACCGTCCAGAACAACTGCACAGCACACACAGCACAACACACAAAAAACTAGCATTGTGAGCACCCACATTTTCTTTGGAAAATGCAATAATCTACTTTATTATGTAGTATTTAAAAATACAAACATTGAATACGTGACATTGTGTGTTCCTGAGATACTTTTATCTACATAAGGCAGCTCTGTTTGACCAACTTCCTGTTTTAACAACCAGTCTAGTTGATGGAACACTGCCACAATTTTACATTTTTAGAAGAAAATGTGAGTAGTGCTTCTGAAAACAGTGTTGTTATTTTTAACTTAAACTAAAGCCATTAAAATTGAGCATCGCTTTAGTTCAGGCAGGCCACATCAGTCAAACTTACATCAACTGACAGTCAGCTGTTTCTGACATATACCAATCCAGTTTTGACACCTATCACAGCGGTCTATTTAAATCCCCATTCAGCCTGGTTGCACACCACATCTAACTCCCCCTCTATCCCCAAATCACCTTGAACCTGTATTATAATCTGATATTGGTTTGCGATTTTTAAATTTTAAAATTTTTTCAGCTTTACGGTAAATTACGTTGTATTTTGCCCTGTTTACAACAAACTCATGTTAAACTGTGAAATGTAATATGTGTTCATGATTACTGGATCTGTTCTGTTACCCCAGGGGGGTTTGACTTGCTGCTCTCCCAACTCTGTCCAGGCATGGCTGCATGGACAGGCGCGTGGACTTTGCCCAGAGCAGAACCATACCGCCAACACTAATTGTATGCATCATTATTATAATAAATATACATTTGACGAAAGTGGTCTTGACTGAATTTACATTTGGAGATTGAAATAAAGCTGAAATAAATACATGTAAAATTGAAAATAAAAACTTAACTGTAAAAAAAACAAACTTAACTGAAATAAATCTGTTTAATTTGAAGGACTAAAATTACAAAAACTGAAATAAAAATCATATACTGTGTGTATGTATGTATGTGTATATATATATATATATATATATATATATATATATATGTATGGGTGTGTGTGAACTGAAAATATGACAATAAAAGGTCATTAAAAATATTAATAAATAGTATATAAATAATACTAAAATAACACTGTTGTAAAACTCTAGGGTGTTGCGGGTGGCTGCCAAAACCTTGCTATGTGGTTGCGAAAGTATTCGGAGTGTTTTTTAACATATTGTTGTGGGTAGTTTCTGGGTGGTTAGTCACCCTAAAGATATTTTGGTCCCCAAGATATGACTCAAGTCTCTTCTTTACTGTCAGTTTGTGGGATTTTTTTGCCTGGTCGGTCAGATGAAAATTGTAGGCTGAAGGTTGCTTAGAAAAACCTCTGTGTGATTTGAGGTTTTATTGTCCAAGGCGCAAATGGTATGACAAGTTATACACCGAATTTGAATATTTATGGTTAGGTATTTGTAGAAATATGAGCAATACCATAAGCACCACTAATAAACCTTGTGCTAAATCATAACTCAACACCATGAGGCCCCGCACAATCTTCAAATTCAATCTGAAAACACCCTGATATTATCAGTCAGCCAATGCATTTCACTCAAGCACATAGGAGGACAGAGGGTATTTCCCAAAGCAGGAAAAGAAAATTAGAAGGCTAACTTTAAAGATCACCCAGCTTTTGAGGATGAAACAGCCAGAACTCTAGGGGATTTAGCGACACGCATGTGTGTACCCATGATTAGCCAACCACTCCTACCGCCTCATTGCCAATATGCTCTTTAGGCAAGTCTTGATTTAATGACAAAAACTCGATGTTTTTATTATTTTTAAATCCATACATCATCTAACCCATTTGTTTCCCGTCTATCTGCCTGCAGTCTCCAGACAAGCCTGATGAACTGCGACCGTCCCCCAGTCCCCTGCCACAGGGGCTAAATGAGCTGGAAAGCTACCAGAGTGCTCTGGAGGAGGTCCTGACCTGGCTGCTCTCCGCAGAGGACGGCTTGCAAGCACAGCCACCCATCTCCTCTTTTGTCGAAGAAGTCAAAGAGCAGTTTCACACCCATGAGGTAATTTGCTAGTTTGTGTTTTAAAGCTTTTGAGGTTGAGGTAGATGAGCGTGTTGATGATTCTGCTGGCCTCAGGTCATATTTTTCTCAGTTGGTGATGTATTGTTTGAAAAAATTGGCATTCATTTCAATTTTTTAAAAATGTAACACTAGAACAATGATTAAAGTTTGATGTATGCACTTATTAGAATACATAACTGGATTTTGGTTGAATGTTGAAAAGTTGGCATGAAATGAAAGTTCACTGTTTTCTGATTAGTTATTGATCTTATTGTAAACGATTCATCCAAGATTGTTTACTTTTTTTTTTTTTGCACTTAATTAAGATGTCATTTCTTGATCTTCCTGTAAAACAACTTCTTTCTGGTGACGTATGTCTGACTCCTACAATCATTTAGACTGCTAAAACCCCTCTCCTTTCTTAAAATCAACTTCAAGTTTCATTTAATCAACAACCAATGGATAGAGCCAAGAACCCTACATTTATTACTTTTTCAATAATTCGTTTTACTCTGATGTATACCACAATAAGGAAGAAAAGATCTGTCGCTGATTTCATTAAATACAAGCTTTAATGTCATTAATTCTGCCTTCAGATGTTGGAAGGATCCTTTTTAAAGATATGGGCACATGAACAGTTAACACAATTTTGCACAGTTTTGAAAACTCTTTGGACCATCTAAACTAGGCTTCCAAATTTCCAAGTGTGAATTATATGTGAGGAGGAAGCTATGGCTAAACTAGCTATAATTAGTTGCTAATGTTGACTGTACAGTTTAGTTTATTTAGTGTTTAGCATTTCGTGTCACTGACACCAAATTAGCACATAATAATGCAGTGCTTCCGCTGAATTGATAAATAATAAGCACAAGTAAAGTAGTTTTGTTCCTGCATTAAACAAGTTTCCTGTCTTTATCGGTAGGTGTAAAAGAGAGAAAGAAACATAAAATTGGCACTTTTTTTTTCCTGAAGTCGCACCAAAAAATCACTCGAATCCACATGATGTCTCAATTATGATGTCAGAGCTTATAAGTAGGATCTTTTCAGAAGGACTAGTACACAGCTGTCATGTTAGGTTACTGGTTCAGAATGCTTAAAAACAGTGTTGTCATTTCCTATGTCTTTTTAGCATGGGCAGACTATAGAGATTCCCTTTAGGGGTGATCCAGGAATTGCTATTAAAGCTAGCTGTATTTGTTGTGATTTCATAAGCTTTAGCTGCCATATGGCAGTTTCGGATTCCTACATAAGCTCAGAGTCTTATGATACGACCTTTGCCCAAAGTTGAAGGCCATACAGAAAAATACAAGTCCAGGCTGTCCTTTTACAGCTTTTCTTGAGCAATTAGTTTATTAAATAAAAAGTTAAGACTATTCTAAGCAACAGTTACACATTAGTTCTTTCTAAAAATAGCCTACTATTTTTGTACAAACTACAATGTTCTTCTTCATACATTTTACATGTTGCTCTAAAAATGACTCGTAACTACCCATACACTTTAGATTTTGAGTATAAAGTTACATTTAAGTCTGTATTGTCCCAGAAATGCTCTTCAGTTGACACATCTATATATGTTTATTCAGTATCTGACATCTGGTCAGTATAAGACTGATGTTTTACACTTGTGTGAGACGTATAGGAATGGCTCTAAATTTGGACAGGTGATTAATTTCTTCAAAATAACATTGAACCCAAAGGGTGAAGGATGCTGTCTGAAAGTTTTGTAACTAAGATGTATTGTTCAAGAAGTTATGGGCTGTTATTATTAACCCAGATCTTCATATGCCCCCCCCCCCCTGTGTTTACAGTCTCTGAATAAATCTGATTTCTCCATTCGTGACAGATGGTAATTATAAGTGTTTCCCCTCAGTTTCATATTCCAACATCTTTTAGAATGTTTGGTCTGGGAGTCAAAGGATCAAACTGTGCCTTGCGTGGGTGTGAATTGAAAAGTTATCTGGGGATATTAAATGACTGAGAGAATGGCATGATATAATGAGTGAAAAAAACTAATTGAGGGAAGTGTTAAGGATGAAAACATGTACAGAGAGATTTGTTTAGATGACAGTGCAAAGAAACAAGTCAAGTCACCTTTATATATATATATATATATATATATATATGTGCTGATCCACCATCTGGGCTGGATACGGACTGGATCCTACAGACTGGATCTGGTGGCTACGGTGACCTCGGAATAAGAAAGAAACAGACTGATATTAGCGTAGATGCCATTCTTCTAACGATGTAGCAAGTACATCAGGTTTTATGGGAAGTGTTCCCGGTTCCGGTTGTCCTAATTAATGCAGCCTAAAAATCCTTTAACGGATTTGAATATTAGAAATGTGTTAGTGTGTTATTGTGTGGGTCTTTAATCTAGATTTAAACTGACAGAGTGTGTCTGCCTCCCGAACAATGTTAGGTAGGTTATTCCAGAGTTTGGTCGCTAAAAAGGAGAAGGATCTGCCGCCCGCAGTTGATTTCGATATTCTAGGTATTATCAAATTGCCAGTTTTGAGAACAGAGATGTTAAAAGTTCTTAAACTCTTTATTATTATATTATATTATAAGCATACTATTTGTTTAACGCCATTTACAGTGTACATGGACTGTGTTTAATACATTTTTAAATATATATTTAAAATTTTAAACTACTGTTCCAAAGTTTGAGGTCATTACATTTTTTTAAAGTCTTTGAAAGGAGTCTATAAACGTGCTTAAATATTATAACGATTTTTAATATTTCTAATTCAATATACTTTAAAATTTAATTTATTCCTGTGATGACAAAGCTGAATTTTTTTTAGCATCATTACTCTCTTCAGTGTCACATGATGCTTCAGAAGTAATTCTAAAATGCTGATTTCGTGCAAGAAACATTTCTTATTATCAATGTTAGAAATAGTGCTGATTAATATTTTTGAAGAAACAGTGATGCATTTTTCTTTGATGAATAGAAAGTTTAAAAGAACAGCATTTATTGGAAGTTTTTTGTAATAATGTCTTTACTGTCACTTTGGATCAATTTGTTGCATTCTTGCTGAATTGTTTTCTTTCAAAAAAAAAAAAAACATCTTACTGATGTATATCATATATATGTCTGTTTATGTCTGTCCAGGGCTACATGGTGGAGTTAACGTCTCATCAGGGCAGCGTGGGCCGGCTTCTCAAAGCAGGAAGTGTGTTGTTGTCTGGAGGGCAGCTGACTGATGATGAAGAGAGGGAGGTGCGGGAACAGATGAATCTGCTCAACTCTCGCTGGGAACATCTGCGTGTGGCCAGTATGGAGAGACAGAGCAGGTGGTCACATGTTTGCATGATAAGCCTTTAGCCAGGAATATAAACCTGTCACTTTTTACAGAAAGACCTTTGCTATTTACAACGTTCATATAACTGATGTTTTGGAACATTTATAGGCTTCATGAGGCGTTGATGGACCTGCAGCACCAGCAGCTGAAGCAGCTCTCTGATTGGCTGGACACAACTGAAACTCGAATTAAAAGAATGGGAGCACAGCCTTTAGGACCCGAACTTGATGACATAAAGCGACAAATTGAAGAGCAAAAAGTATGTACTGTATTTTTTTTGTGGTTTATTGATAATCAAAAAACAAATAAGTAAAGACACAATTGTCCCTACAGCTCTTACAGGAAGATCTGGAGCTGGAGCAAGTGCGAGTGAACTCTCTGACTCATATGGTGGTGGTAGTAGATGAGAACAGTGGTGATGGTGCCACCGCAGCCTTGGAGGAAAAACTGCAGGTAAATGTTGTTATTGATTTGCCCAAGCAGAACAGTGTTAGGCCTCGATCACACCGAATGCGTTTTTTTAAGTCTGAAAACGTGAGGTGCACCGCACTGCTTTTTTTTGGGTGACTTTTAAAAAGAGCGCAGTGCGCGCATTTTTTATGTTGCTAGGCAACCACCAAATCAACTGTCCTGTCAGTCTAATCAAAGGATTATAGCGCGAGCGCTCTAAAATCTTTGGTTTTTGCTGTTAAGTAAAAAAAAAAAGTAATATTAGCAGAAACCTTAAAGGGGTCATATGATGCTTTTTTAAAGATCATTATTTTGTGTATTTGGTGTAACAGAATATGTTGACATGCTTTAATGTTCAAAAAACACATTATTTTTCAAATACTGTACATTATTGTAGGTCCTATATGCCCCCCCTCTCTCAAACGCTTCGTTTTCTACAAAGTCCCTCCTTCCGACAAGTGCAGTCTGCTCTGATTGGCCAGCTGACCAATACAGCTCCGGGTAACCCGCTACAGACACCAAAAGTTTCTCTTCCATCATTGCAGTCTCTGGCCTTTCTAAGCAACAGTAAACTTTCGTCACCACAACGGAAGGCCCACATCTACATTCATTCGATTGGACAATGGAAAAAAAAACCACGAATGACGTCGGGCGCTTTTCCGCTCAGAGTTGCCTTTTTTTTAACCACAGGCGCTCAGAGCGCTCCTGCAAAAACGTAAGGCGCCCGGGGTGCATAAACAGCGTGCAAAACACTCACTGCCAACAGAAAACTATTTTAAAAAGGCACCTCTCACTGCAAAAAACGCGTTCTGTCTGATCGGGGCCTTAGGATTAATATTCTATAATAAACCAAACCATGCCTGGTTAAGTTAATGCTGTTAATGTCTGCGATTGACATCCACATTTATCTAGAGGTGCAAGTCTCGAAAAGTTCTGTTCACACAGCAGTTTACAACAGTTTCTTGAAAACTGTCTGTATGAACGTGCAACTGAAGTCAAGCCTGTATTCAATTTGACACTTTCACCTATAAGCATAGCGATAATGACTAAAGTAAATACCAATGAATCTGAAAGCTGAATAAATAAGATTTTCATTGATGTATGGTTTGTTAGGATAGGACAATATTTGGCTGAAATACAACTATTTGAATATCTGGAATCTTGAGGGTGAAAAAAGAAATCTAAATATTGGGAAAATCGCCTTTAAAGCTGTCTGAATGAAGTTCTTAGCCATGCATATTACTAATCAAAAATTAAGTATTGATATATTTACAGTAGAAAATGTACAAAATATCTTCATGGAACATGATCTTTACTTAAAGGGTTAGTTCACCCAAAAATTCTGTCATTAATTACTCACCCTTCGTACATCTTCAGAACACAAATTAAGATATTTCTGATGGAATCTGAGAGCTGTCTGACCCTGCATTGACAGCAATGCAACTGAAATGTTCCTAAGTTCAGAAACGTAGCAAGGAGATCTGTAAAATAATCCAAGTGACATCAGTGGTTCATCCGCAATTATACGAAGCTACGAGAATACTTTTTGTGCGCAAAAGAAACAAAAATAACGACTTTATTCAACAATTCGTCTCCTCCGCGTCACCCTGGTGCCATTTTGGAGAGTATCCGCTGGACGTAAACAATGCTGTTCTGTGTCAGCTGTGTCACGCCGGATCTGTTTCCTACGTTGTTGTGATTTGATCTGAACAGAAACAGCGTATCCATGTGACGCAGCTGACACAGAACAGCATACATTGTTTACGTCCAGCGGATACTCTCCAAAATGGCACCAGGGTGATGCGGAGGAGACGAATTGTTGAATAAAGTCATTATTTTTGTTTCTTTTGCACACAAAAAGTATTCTCGTATCTTCGTATAATTGCGGATGAACCACTGATGTCACTTGGAATATTTTACAGATCTCCTTGCTACGTTTCTGGACTTGGGAACATTTCAGTTGCGTTGCTGTCTATGCAGGGTCAGACAGCTCTCAGATTCCATCAAAAATATCTTAATTTGTGTTCTGAAGATGAACGAAGGTCTTACGGGTTTGAAACGACATGAGGGTGACTAATTAATGACAGAATTTTCATTTTTGGGTGAACTAACCCTTTAATATCCTAATGATTTTTGGCATAAAAGTAAAATCAATAATTTTGACCCATACAATGTTATTGCTGGCCATTGCTACAAATATACCCATGCTACTTATGACTGGTTTTGTGGTCCAGGGTCACAATTAAGTGACAACAGCATTTACAGTATACCACAGAGAGGCTCTTTCACACTGTATAATGTAACAGACAACCAAGTGTGGTTATAGAATGCAGTTGCCACTCCTGTAAATAACAAAAATGTGTCTGAATGAAACTACTAATTACTCAAATACAGGCCTGACAACCATAATCTGCTACTGTGACCTTTGTAACCATAACCACAGCCCTAAGGTCTGACCGGTTGTTTGGACCAAATAACTGGTATAATGTTTTGTTTACTTGATTGGTTTTTCCATAACACCCCCACTTTACTTACACAGAACCTTGGGGAACGATGGGCAGCGATCTGCAAATGGACTGAAGAGCGTTGGATCCTTCTTCAAAAGATCCTGCTGTGCTGGCAGCATTTCTCTGAGGAGCAGGTACTGAATCCTTCCAGACCGTGCTGAAAAAGCTTTTACAATGCATTTAGCAGCTCTCAAAATGCCTTTTGAATCCTGCCTGTTAAATGACTATAATGAGAGCATGTCTGGGGAACATAAAGGTTTTGAAGACCTCTTTTCTCAAGAGAGTCAGCGCGATAACATCACCAGTGCTCAAAAGAAACAGGAAAAGCAGCAGTGCAGAACACATCTCACAATCTCCCTTTAATCCGCTGTGCTTGTTTTATAGCTGCTGTTTGATTCTTGGCTGACTCAGAAGGAGGAGTTAGTGCAGACTATCCAAAGCAGCGGCACAAATGACCCAAATGAAGTGGCCGCCAACCTAAGGAAGCTCGCTGTAAGTGGCCACACATAATCCAAACTCACTGAAGCATTAAAGTCAACCCTACTTTGCACGATTAACAAACAAGTCCTGATAAAATCATGTGTTTTGAATTTTTTTTCCCTTTTTGAATATGCTGCATGACATGTAAAATTTTCATTTTACAGAAGTAAAATGGGTTTCAAATGACGTTTTATGTTTAAATCCTTTGTAATGGGTTTGAAATCATGCATTTTTAGTGATGCAACACAATTCCCTGCTAGCATTAGATATTATGTAGTTCTGTTTTTCAAAGTTCTCATTGGTTGGCTGACTTTGAAGGTATAGTCTAACCAAAAATTAAAAATGTGTCCTTCATGTCGTTCAAACTTTGTACGACTTTCTTTTTTTCTGTGGAACAAGATACTTTGAAAAATGTTGGTAGCAAGATGGTTTTAGGTCACACTGACTTCCATAGTATAGACAAAAAATAAAATGGAGGCCCCTTCATTACTATTGCTATGTCAGACAAGCCATGGCGCTCTTATGCCACACGTTATGTTCTCACGAAGTGAAAAATACATCGTGGAGCAAAGAGGAAACTGACAACACGCCGACAGTCAAGACAGAGCAGGTTACTTTTGCTGTGAAACAAAGTCTAAGCTTTAATATTTTGAAATTTTTTAAGAAATTCAAGCTATAAATACCGTTTTGTGGCTCTTTAATGTGTCGTGACAGATCACTGTAGCGCCTGAGTTCAAGCGGCACGTGAACCGATCATCTCTTCCTCTTTACTAGTTATAGCACAAAATAAACATGAATGAACAACAGAAGGTATCTTGTTTCAACCGTGAAAAGATGCCAATACACACCATTTTTCAAGTTCAAGGTGACCGACGTTAGTCTACTCTCCGGTTTGGTTGGTTTGTCGAACAAAAATGGCTGATTCGGCGTTATGATTGGTTAGATCGCCTGTCAATCAAACTCCCTGCGAAGGGTCAGTTGTTTAGTTGCCAACATTCTTCAAACTATCTTCTTTTGTGTTGTTCGAAATGATATGAGGGTGAGTAAATGATGACAGACTTTTTGGCCCGGACTTTTCCTTTAAGAATAGATTTCAGAACTTAAAGGCTGTCACCTGAATTTCGTTCCTCAGATTTTAAAAGCAGACCTGGAGTTGAAAAGGCAAACCATGGATAAGCTTTGCTCCCTCGTTCAAGATTTGCTGACCAACATTAAGAGCAAAGAGGCCGCTGGGAAACTAGAGGCAAAGCTGGAGAGGTTTGCTCAGCGCTGGGACAAATTGGTACAGTCGCTTCAGCTCACCAGCACCAAGGTGGTTATGCTAATGCGATTCCATTTACTGTGTCTCATCTTTTCCGCAATACTGTTCCATCTATTTCCATTTCTCTCAGAATTTGATATGGCTTCCTGCATGCCCGTGCCATCACTCAGAATAAATAAAAGCGCTCTCACTGTATCTCACTCTCTCTTTCATATGCACTCAAGAATCAGTCTTCTATACATTTGCACATACGTGTCTTACAACTTTTGTCTCTCTTAGTTTTCAACTATTGTCACCACATCCCAGTCGGATCTCACGCATACAACCATGGCAACTGTCACCAAGGTGACCACGAACCAGAAAAAGATGGTGAAGCATACTAAGGAGGGCATGTCTACCCCTCCACCTCAGAAGAAGCGACAGATTGTCACTGATTCAGAACTGCGGAAAAGGTGAACTTATGCACCTCGGTTTTGTCACAGGTCACTAAATGTGGAGGACCCATTTATGACAACCAAAGCTTTGCTTTGGGGTTTTCTGTTCCTGAGTTTTTTTGTTTTTTTTTTACTATTAATGACATTAATGATTTCAAGAAGCACATTTTATCCATCCATTTTTAAATTTTTTTATTAATGTAATACTTTTATTAATAATTTTATATAACTAGATTTAAGGTTAAATAATTGCTAAAAAATAATCAAACTAATACAAATAGGTCTTACTACATATGTTTTTTTTTTATTTTATTTTTTTACATAAAACAGTGTTTTTAAAGCGTGGTTTTGACAATGCAATCTATTTGGTCACTCAGTATGAACATTGTGTAATAAAATGGACCCATTTGTATACATTTCCTGAATGAAACATGTCTAATTCTTGAGAAAGAATTATCACCACTTTTTCACATGACACAGACACTTCATATTTGAAGTGAAATATATCTTGTTTTTTATTCTTTATTTCTCAAGGGAATTTTTTGTTGTATTGCATACATATTTGCTGTAAAACGGGACAGGGATACTAATGAAGTTTTTTTTTGTTGTTGTTTTGTTTTTTGCAGTGTAGGCTTTTTCATCTAAATAAGCTATTTTGCTTTTTGGCTGCATGAGTTAAACTGCACTTTTGAGTTTAGAAATGATGCTGAAACACAAAGCCTGCAGTGAGGGGAAAATGCTAATCAATGCCCGAGCCCTAACAGTATTCAAATGACTAACAAACAAACAAGAATAACTAATTTGTTTTGCTGTTCTCTCATCAATTTCCTTGCAGATTTGATGTGGACTTCACTGAAATTCACAGTTTTATGACTCGGTCAGAGGCTGTTTTGCAAAATCCAGAGTTCTCAATCTCCCGTAAGGAAGGCAGTGTGGCAGACCTCTATGAGAAAGTGCTGGTAGGGCTACATTAACATGTTCATTTCATATTAGACTGCAAAATGTATTATATTACTTTAGAAAGTTTTGAACTTTAATAATATATTAATATTAATTCATATCTCATTTGTTTTGCTGTTCTCTCATCAATTTCCCTGCAGATTTGATGTGGACTTCACTGAAATTCACAGTTTTATGACTCGGTCAGAGGCTGTTTTGCAAAATCCAGAGTTCTCAATCTCCCGTAAGGAAGGCAGTGTGGCAGACCTCTATGAGAAAGTGCTGGTAGGGCTACATTAACATGTTCATTTCATATTAGACTGCAAAATGTATTATATTACTTTAGAAAGTTTTGAACTTTAATAATATATTAATATTAATTCATATCTTTGAATTATTATATTTAATTTATGCAAAGTGTAATAGTTATATAGAAACTCAATTATTAGAACACGTTAATGCTTTATAAAATGTGTTTCATTGGTGTTTACTGTGTGCATCTTTCAACCATTTTTGAGGCAATTGACAGGGAAAAAACAGAAAAGTTCAGGAAGTTACAAGAAGCCACTCGTTCAGCCCAGGCTTTGGTGGATCAGCTCACTAGCGGTATGCATGAATTCTAAATGATTATTTTCATATGCATATCTTGTAAACACCCCTTGATTTTCAATCAGTCTTGCATAATTCAAAACTTGCCCTTGTTGTCTTTTTAAAAGACACACAAATATCCCCCATCTTATTTGGAAAGTAATAAGCTGCATTTTGCTGCTAATTAAAGTAATAAAATCCTGCATAATGTCAGCTCTATTAATTATAGATAGAGATGTACATCGATGGGACGTTTCCCAGCTATTTTGAAAGTCTAAAGCCTTTGCCAGCTTAATTGCCTCAAATGCTGTTTCAATATGCATGAGTCTCATTTGTCCTAATGGATCTTTCTCTAAAGATGGTCAGAATTCCGAGGACATCCAGCAGGCGGCTCAGCAGTTACGTGCTCGATGGGTCGACTTCTGTGCTCTCCTGGCCGAAAGGCTGGCATGGTTGGCCTACCAGACCAAAGTCCTGGCCTTCTACAATCTCTTCCAGCAACTGGAGCAGGCTGTGGGAACCGCTGAGAACTGGCTGAAGGTGCAGTCGCCTCCCGCGTGCGAGCCGGAGCCTCTGAGGATTCAGCTGGAGCGTTGCAGGGTAACCACCAGTGTCTGTCCTCGTGCATGGGTCTTGTTCCTTTGTAGATTTGTGTTTCAATGTGTGTTTGTTCTGTGTCCATATACAGGGCAAAGTCTGTCTTTTCCTGTGTCTGGCCAGGTAATGCCCTTTACCGACTGCATGTGTTCATCTGATCTCATGCAGAAAACAAAACAAAAACAAAAAAAATGCTATGATGCATTCATGCAGGACATTTTATCATCCCCAACAAGACAAATAACCTTAAATTTTTTTTCTTGATCTTTTGAGATAAAAGAGCTTGATTTACTTTGAAAACATACTATAACTTTCAGAACCTCCTCCACAACTCTATATGTATGTCCTTCCAAAGGTTCCCAAGATTAGAAATTAGTTTATTTTTAACAAGGTCCCTGAAGTTTTTTTTTTTTTTTGGCACAACAACAGAAAATAGCAATAAATTCTAAATAATAAATAATGTAAAATACAATGTATATATATAATGTAAAATCTACTCACCCTCAGACCATATAAGATGTAGATGAGTTTGTTTCTTCATCGGAACAGATTGGAGAAATTTAGCTTTACATCACTTGCTTGCCGTCAGAATGAGAGTTTAAACAGCTGAAAAAAAAAATCTAATCCACATCATTCTAACAATTAAAGGGGTCATATGAAGCTATCTAAATTTTTCTTTTCTCTTTGGAGTGTTACAAGCTCTTGGTGCATAAAGAAGATCTGTAAAGTTACAAAGACTAAAGTCTCAAATCCAAAGAGATATTCTTTATAAAAGTTCAGAGACAGCCACGCCTACCTAAAACGGCTTGTTCGAACACGCCCCCACATGTCTACGTCACGATGTGGGAAGATTTGCATAACGCCGCCCAAATGTTCACGCAAAGAAAGAAGACGTAACTTTTATTCTCGCTGTAGTATTGTTGTTTTGCCGCCGCCGCCATGTTGTGGAGACGCTGTGTGTTTCGTTGTGAAAGTGAAACTACTTTGTTTGGCCTTCCAAAAGAGGACGATATCTGCTTCGTCATACCTAGAGCTGATCCGTGCTGGTCGCTGAGGAAATACATCAACTTCGCGCTGTGGATCGCCGGATCGGCTTTCACCGTGGACGAAGCGGACGTCATATGTGGTTGCTGCAAGCCCGCTGGCTGCTCCTTCGTCGAATCCGCCGGCCTCCTCTCACTCAAGCACACTGTGGGTCTTCCAAAAGAGGACACAACTAGAAATCAGTGGTTAAGTTGTATTTACAACACTGTTCCAGAACAGTTCAACCCAAATATTCAGATGTGTGCAGCGCATTTTATGGAGGACTGTTTCCTGAACCTGCAGAGTAGCCTAC